ACCCACTCCCGCAGCCATCTCGCCATCTCCTCTCCAGTTCTCTCAATTGTCAATCCATCTTCCACGCATTCGACGCCTTCGATTCTATGCCGCCGTTATCCTTCTCTGCATTGTAGATCTCTTCTGGGTGCATACACCTATGCCTTATGGGGGGTCGGCTGCCGTTAGATTCATGATCTCTTCCGCTGGTTCTTGTTTCCTGTTCCTTTCCTCGCTACTTTCGCTCCAATCTCACATATTCCTATCATCGCATGACCTGACCGATATATTCTCCGGAATGCGGATCTTGGGAATTCGCCCACTATTCGAACGAGGTTGAACTGACGAACTCGAGCCTGTGCATGACGTCCTTACATCCTTCCATTCCTACTGCTTGTTCCCCCAATTGCCAGCTTACACGTCGAGACTGCAACCGCTGTTGATGGTCATGTCAAGCTCTCAGTTCGCCACACCACAGGATGTTGCGCCAGCGCCGGCAGACAACGAAAGTGTGGTTGCCCCACGGAAGAGGAGGAAACGCGCACCTGCTGCTGGTGCGGCCGTGGACTGCTTCACCTGTACAAGTCGGAGTGTTCAATGCGACCGACGGAGACCGTACTGCTCCCGATGCTTGGACGATGGCAAGGACTGTGCTGGCTACAAAACTCAATTAACCTGGGGCAATGGAGTAGCAAGCAGAGGCAAGCTTCGAGGCCTTTCACTACCCATTGCTGGCACTCAGAAGTTGTCCGCATCCAATTCACCGCCCAGACCGAAGAAGAGGACATTACCACCACCATCTTCCCGCGTACCTCAGTTGCAACACATTCTTAATGCTTCCCCAGATGCTCGCCCCACCATCTCCTCGGAAGTGCAATCCCCAGAATCAGCCACCAACGGCAACGTAGCCTTCCAATTTGGTCTATCTCATCCGCCTCCGATTACGCCCTCTTATGCCACGGCTACTAGTCCATGGAGCCCTCCACCAGAAGTGCCCGGAGTCAAAATAGCGCCGAGAATCTCTCCGTATACGGCTGCGTCTTGGGCACCGTCTGTTGTCCACGGAGCCCCTGTTGGTGACGGTCTTCGACGGCCCAGTACTGTATATAGCAGGAGCGATCGAGTGTCACCGATGTCACACTCTCCACCGTCGCCCGAATCAGCATACTTTGGACGCGTCTTAAACCACGACTCGATGGGTGTGCCGGCTACTTTGCCTCCTTATACCGAGTCTCCTCGAGTCACATCCCCATTTGGTGGGTCGTTTCCTGAGCAGGGGCAGTTTTCCATTTACCAGAGACAGGACGACCGTCTTTTCAGCAACGAACTAGATGTTTCGGCACTTCTACCACAAGGAATGGAACAAGTCCTTCCCCAGAGCATTGACGATGCTCTTGACGGTGAGGTTGAAGAAGTACGTCGAGTCGCGTATGAAAACGAATGTGCCATTGTGGAAGATGATTCTGCGGTTGGCTTTCCTCAGTGGTCGCTGCACGACTACAGCCTCTCGCTCTCACCCTTTGCAGGTATTACAGCTATTGGCGCAACCCCACGGATGCAATATTTGATACAATACTACACTGAGGTCATCTCGCCTGTGATTGTGGCCTTTGACGGCCCTTCCAACCCATATCGAACTCAGATTCTGCGGCTGGCGGGGAAGAGCGAAACGCTTCAACACGCGATAGCCGCATTGGCAGCAAGTAACCTAAGACAGCGGCGGGAAACTGGATTATCGACGGGCAAGACAGATCCAGCGAGGAGGTCGTCCATGGCCCACCTCACCCTTACGAAAGAGGACTGGCATGAGGCAGGCCTGTTGACTCCGCAGGAGCAAGCACGTGAGGAATCCCTTCATAAAGGCATTGCTATTCAATCTCTCAATATGCAACTCGCTGATCCTGTTCAACGGATGGACGATTCGATTCTGGCCACACTGCTTATCCTGTGTCTATTCCACATCTGTGATTCAGGGATTGCAAAGTTCCGCACACAATTCGCTGGTGTCAAAAAACTTCTTTCCATGCGCAAAAACGACTCGGGGTTGAATACGAGGGAGGCGAAATGGTTCACACGGATGTTTACCTGGTTTGATGCAATGACTGCCACGGTCAACGATCGCGAGGGACAGCTCCAGGGCTACCACCTGGACGTGTCCGCCCTGTCAGACGAAGAATGGGCGCTGGAGAATCTTGCTGGTTGTGACGGTAATTTGTTCAAGATAATCGCCAAACTGGGTAGGCTGAATGTGTTGAGCCAAGGCAAATCAGTTGAGGAAAGTCCTGCTATTGTGTCTCGACCGGTGCCCACGATGTCTTCGGCACTGCACTTTGACTACAGCAAGTTCGACGGCAATGGATGGATGCGGATCGCTGAGGATGACGAATTGTTCTCCAGCAAAGTGACAGAACCCGATGTGAAGACACAGTTCTGGCGAGAATGGAGGGAAATTCGACAGGCCTTGCTAGCTTGGCAGTTGGCTTCAAGTCTTCACGAACGCCCCAACCTTGGAGTGCCTTACTTGACCGATGAGCAGCGCGTCGACCTCGGGAATATATCTGAGTCCTTCAGATATTCTGCGCTGTTATATACCGAGCGCTTGGCCCATCCACAAGTCCCCAGTACGGACTTGGCCATCCGTGGATGGGTACAAGAATGTCTGAAGTACATCAAAGCTGTCAAGTCGGATGTGTACCTTCTCTGGCCCTTGTTTATTACAGGCAGCGAATGCGTCGACGACCCTGATCGTGACGTGATTCGCCAACGATGCCTTGATATCCAGAAGGACAGTGGCTTCCTTAACAACAAGAGCTGCTTGGAGCTTTTGGAGAAGGTGTGGCGCAATTATGACGAGAAGAAGAAACCGAGTCTGTTCAGCAGCAAGTATGCGGACTCCTTTGGAGATGTGGATGACGAAACTGGCTTCAGGTTTACGACTATTATGAGAATGGAGAAAAACCAGGGTGAGTATATTGTCGTCTGACCGCGACGTACAGGACTGAGAAGAATTGAACATGTCGGAAGATCAGATGCTATGTGAGGTAACAAATTACATTGCAGTAAAGGATCTCAGAACCTCTCTGACGAAGGAATGATGGATAATTGGTTACTGTATAGTAGGAAAAGTTTTGGGAGCTTTGTTTCACGGTCGTAAATCCACTACTGATACGGATAGTTACCACTATCTCTGAAGATGAAAATCAATCAATATTTCTCGCCATGAGATCTGAAGTGAAAGAATCAATCGATGGTGTCGGGGGTTGTATTCAAGCAACGCAATACTCGGAAAAGTGCAAGGCTGAGTTTGGTAGTTTTTGATTGGCTGAAAAAGGACCGACAGTAGATTTCAGTAGAAGAGCCGGATGCGCACCTGTTTGTGCATTCTCTTTTCCTGCCTAGACATTGTGGCATGTGTTACCACCTCCGCATTCCACCACCAGATCACAAACATGTCCAACCCCCCCTCTGGAACCTCGACGCCACGCGCCTTCGCGGCGCAGTCTGCTACCGCGGAAGACCTGCTGAAGTCGCAAACTGTCGGCCTGGTGAACCTGGCGGACTTCCGTAAGAGGCGTGCAGATGTGTTGGAACTGAAAGAGAAAGAGGCGAGAGAAGCGGCAGGATCCAGGACGAGGACGCCCGAAAGTGACGGGTGAGTTGAATAGTTCCTTGCTATTCTCGAGGCACAGGCACTGGCCATCCACCCCGCCTTGTCTCGTGTGGTTCATGGTTTCTTTCCTCTCAAGCGCTTCACGGGCGGGGCTAATTTGCAAAGCACAGTGCAGCGGCGACACGAAAACCCGACCAGGACGGACCTCCGAGTAAGAAGTTAAAGAAGAAAAAGATTGCAGGCAAAGGGCTATTATCGTTTGGGGGCGACGAAGACGAGGACGCAGAGGGCGGAAGTACCGTCTCGTCGCCCGCAGTGCGAAGTTCGAGACCGTCAACCGAACCGTCGCCTGAACCATCCTCCATCACTCGCAAACTAACCCCCAACCCCAATTCGACTCTCCCTCCTCCCCGAGCAATCACAAAAGCGGCACTAGCCGCTGAGGCTCTGGAACGAGAAAGACTACGGAAAGAATTCCTTGAAATCCAAGATCGGGTAAAGGAGACGGAGATTGAGATCCCCTTTGTATTCTACGAGGCTGGCGCGAATGTGCCAGGTGGCAGCGTAAGAGTCAAAAAGGGTGATCATGTGTGGTTGTTCTTGGACAGGTGTAGAAAGGTGGGAGCTCAACTCGGCGTCTCTGGTTCTGGCTCAGGATCTGTCGGCGGTGGGAGCAGTGCCATGCAGAAGAGGCGCAGGGAGGACTCGAGGAAACAGTGGGCACGCGTGGGTGTCGATGACTTGATGCTCGTGCGAGGCGAAGTCATCATTCCCCATCACTATGAGTTCTACTATTTCATTGCGAACAAGATTCCCGATCCGAGTAGGGAAGGGAAGCTGCTGTTCGAGTACTCTGGGACAGCGGATGTCAGAAAGACTAACCCAGGCAGACAAGACATCGAGACCAATGCTCTGTTACGAGTGCCTGGAAAGACGCAAGAGGTGCTGGAAGGGCATAATGACGACCCAACACGGACCAAAGTGGTGGATCGAAGGTGGTATGAGAGGAACAAGCACATCTATCCCGCGATTGTATGGAAGGAGTTCAAGGCTGGGAAGGAGTTTGAGGAGATCGCAAAGGGAGGCAGAAGGGATGCTCAAGGCAATGCTTTTTTCTTTGGTTGATATGGACCTGATGACCACTGATGAATCGAAGCAATTTTACCCGTTAATGAAATTTCAGGATGCACATCTCATGGAAGATAGAGTGGTGCTTTGTGAGGACACGGGGCAAGTGCAGACAAGACTGAACCTGATCGTCATCGCTCAATTGGCGCAGACGTGGCAGTGGCTGACATCGCGGCAGCCCGTGTCTTTTACCCATACCTATACACACTGCGATATCTCCGCTGCTCATCTAACTACTCTCCGTTCAGCCATTCACCATACCTCGTCTCCTCGACACAGAGCAATGGAGCAGCACTTGCGGTGCAACAATCAGCAGGGGGGCAGTTGTCGAGCTGCACTCACGGCGGAGGCAATTGCTACAACTTGCGCGCATGTTCCTCCTACAGTCATTCTGCTTCTCGCCGTCGTTCTAATCCGTCTCAGGCACATCTTTTGCATACCCTGCGCCGAGAAGACTGGCTTGTCGACAGCACCCCGGAATCAGCGTCGATGTCCTGTTTGCAAGACCGCCCTACCAAATGCCCACGATGCAGTCCGCAATCTGATAAATCCACCCGAAGACTTCAAGACCAGCCTTCTTTGTGGCCTCGACCCCGCAACCATCATGGAGTGTGCCCAGACGGCGCTTTCTTTCTGGACATACCAAAAGGCTCAGGAACTGTGACGTTTAATGCTTCATCTGCGAAGTGACCTTTCTGACGAGAGTGACAGTGCATATCAGCAACACATTGCTAAAAACCTGACGCACAGGTTCCACCAACTCAATGCAGAGGTTGAAAGGACTGTTAATGATGGCAATTCTCGAATCCAAGCTCTGGAGACACAGAATCAGCGTACGAAACTCTAGATATATCCACCGACGAAGAGTCCGCTAATCAGTGCACAGAACTCTCTACTGATGTACAATCATTGCAACAAAAGTATACGCAACTTTACGACCAGTATCAGGACAAGAGCAGGAAGCAAGCACAGACCCAGAAGCTCTACGATACTCTGAAACAGAAAGTCATGTTGGAGAAGATGGAGCCACTCGCCAAGAACGATGTAATTCAGACATTACAGTCCTTTTCTACCTTGCCGCAAACCGAGAGGGTGCAGTCGGTCGTTGACTTGGGACAAGCCTTTCGCCCACAAGACCCTCCCCAGACAGCAGAAAGGCCAGCTCCTAGACATGGGCGCTTTCAAGAAGGTCACGAACGACTTCATCCACACCAACGGTCCGGGAGCAGTCTTAGTGGCAGCGAAAAGAGGGGCATGTTACCGCTCGAGAGGCCGCGGATATCGAGGATCTGTAGGTGGCCAGAACCCAACATACTGCTTGTGCTAACCCGCGGCAGCAAATGTGCTGGCTACTTCAGGAACCCCTTTGCAACGGACAGCCTTGCCAAACCAGCCTAGTTTGGGTGTCAATCACTCCGGTTTGCCAACAACAGCTTCACGTTCTCAGCTTTCAGCAGGTGGTCATCATCTGCCAGGATCAGCATCTCATCGCCAGCACAACCGCCCGAGCAAAGTCGTGAATCCAGCCCAAAGCTACAGTGCCATCAGTTCAGGCATGAAAGTCGGTAGAGCAGGGACGTCTGGGTCAATCGACTTAGGTCCAAGGTTCAATCAATACGCTGGTATGTCTAATTTCCCTGCTGTACGCTCGAAACTAACTCCCCATGGACAAAATCATGCATTCAGCGCAGCAGAGTGTGGATCATGCGACCCCGACTGCGCCATATTCAGCTGGTTATTGAGTTGACACAAGCGACGAGGTGCTCTGACCAGAAAAGAAATTCATAATAAGTTGCCTTGACAGCAGATATAGGCCATTCTCTTTACAGAATAGGTAGATTTTGCTCCTCTATCTCATCTCATCTCCTCTCGGTCCCTCAATTACTTTTCTCCAGAATCACTCTACTCGTATTGAGTGCCACTCAATGGTCTCAGCAGTTGTCCAAAAGAATCTATCCGTTGACCTTTTGTCAACTGCACCTTTACCAATCATTTCACTAAGAGGCAAGGTCCAATTTGCCAGAATATTCTACCCAGCTATTGAAAGCAGCGATCGAAAGCTTTACACACGATCCGAGGCTATCTTCATCTTGCTTGAGCCATGAGAATACATTTGCCGTCGACCCGATTCGTCTCGGTACAGTAAGCGACGAGGCTGTCAAAAGAAGGACAGTCAACATGGATGGCAGACCTTCTAACCAATCGGTCTCATCTGGAACCAAAGGTATGGTGTTGGAAATGAGAACGTTACAGAAGCCAAGGCAGAGTGGCCTTCAGATCATTTTCAACAATCCGATCCTGTTGTCGTCGCTCGTCCAGAACTTTGATAGGAAAGACTATCACTGGCTTGCAGAACTTGCAGCTACCATTCCTGGTATCGAACCATGGCCCAAGTGGGAGCCATTGAGTCAACCTTTGCCTTTTGGCACCTTAGCATTCAGCGTCAAGGACTTGCGAGTTAGATGCCAGAATTCGCTACCAGAAATGCCACGACTTATGGCGGTAAAATCATCTCATGCCGTACACAGTGAGGGCGGATGCAAAGAACTCGAAGGTGCAATGAGCTGGAAAGGATGTGGCTTGACGGAGCGAGATCAAGGACTACCACCGAAATCTAACATACACCGTGAAGGGCCTTTGGAATTCTTCGAATGTATTGGCCACAGGCTGAAAATCCGAGACCTCCCCCTGTCTGATATTGAGGAATGCCTGATCCAGCTGCAGCTTGTGATGGAGATATCTTCGCTTTCGACCAACTCGATACGAGCTGCAGTACGGCTGCTACAGAATGACGGACCACAGCCAGTATTGGTGGATTTGCACGGGTTACACGGTTCTGAGTTTATGGTCTGCTCGAAATGCGCTCTCGATGTCTACCTCTCACTGAGCGTTTGTATATGGGATCATGCTCGAATCGTTCCACTCTGTCGAGAGTGCTCCGAGAATCCCTCCCGAGAGCTCTATAAATTCGAGGCGCAGGGCATGCCATCCATTGCAGAAAATATACGAGGCTTGAGGAATATCGATAAATATCTCGAATGTGACTGTCACGAGGTTCTATCGCCCGGCAATGGTTATCACCTCTGCACATTCTGTGCCGCCATGTTCCATGTGCTAATTTACCTGCAGCACCGGCTAAACAAAGCCTCGGGCATCTATCCGGACAGTGTACCTTACCAAGTTCTAGAGATGGGCAACACCAAGAGCGGATATGGTCGCAACTATTGCCCCTGTGGAAAGGACTGGCATCAGCTTGTTGACAGCTGGTGTGGTATTTCTCAGGAAGAACGGGACAACAGAATGTACCGTCTCTGCACGTTGTGTACGGGGCACATTCCACGTGGGAAAATGATGAATCCACAATCGACCAATTGTCTCTGACAGGGCGAGGGTAGCTGTGCATGCTCAAGGAACGCACGGGACGGCAGAAGTCAGAGAGGCTGATACTTGTGTGGGCGGAAATAGAGAATCTCCGTGATGGTTCGGCGCTAGCATGGTGTACTATGGAGGCGAAGCACTTGCATGAGGAAGCGGTCTGAGAGTTATGAGGACAAGAAGAGCTTTCGGAGGTCTAGCTACAAGTTACTGAGGAGTCCAACACAGCGTCCACCTTGCTTAGGTAACTACAACGAGACGAGGCTGGACAAGACAAGACAGGTGCGCTTCATGAGCCGGGTGACAGGGCAAGAAGACAAGGCCATGAGAGTCGAGGACAGCAACGCCTTGGTACATAGCTTGATAGCTTCAGAGACATTGGAGCATTGAAGCATTGACATTGTATCAGACGATGGTCTCTTTCCTTTCTCTCAAACTCTGTCCGTCGTTTCCTTAAGCTCTGGAACAACATATTTTCTCCGATATGGTCCTCTATCCCCTTTCCGAAATACCAGAGTAGAACAACCCGGCGGTCTTGATGTGGTTCTTGTTTTTTTTTTTTTTTTGGCCTCGGTCAAGTCTCAGTTCCCAGTCTTAGTCTTATTCACAGTTCCAGGCCAGTGCCAGTGCCAGTGACAATCACCGTCCACCTCGGAATGAGATAGAGATGTCATATACACTCTCACTCAATAAACCACGCTCGCCCTCGCCCTCACCCTGGCCTTCGTAGTACAACACTTCGATATGATATGTGGGGGACATGGTCACGGTCATGGTCACGGTCATGGTCACGGTCATGGTCACGGTCATGGTCACGGTCACGGTCATGTTGTGTTGGAGGGAGAGATCAGGAGACGTAATTGATCGGCCCCTTGAGCTTGTTCCGCGGATCGTGCAGTTTCTTCAGTGCGAGCAGTTTGGGGAGATGTTCGGCGTAGACCTAGGAAGTGGGTTAACACGGAAAGAAGGTTAATAATCACAAGTACTCAGGAGCTCGGTAGGCAAGTAGTTTAGTACTCTAGGGGAAAAGAGGGACAGGGGGGAATAATAGCGGAAAACTCAAGGGAAAATAGGATGTCGAAGAGAGTGTCGTCGTGCTGTTCAGTGGGGATTCTCCTTCTCTTTTTCTATTATCCGTTTCCTGAGAAGTTCAGGATATTCAGGAAGAGGGAGAGGTGTGGAGAGAGGGAATGAATGTGTGTATGTGTGTGTGTGTGATTATCAGGTTGAGAGAGCGCGGGAACTATGTGATGGGATGGGATGAGTCTGGCATTGTCACTCACATCTTTCAGGTCATGGTACTCTTCCAGCGCGTTCGGCGCGTAGCGGATCCTCTGGTCGCCGTGTCCGTCGAAGACGATGCGCGGGGCGTCGTGGAGGAGTTGTCGCGCTGTGGTAAGTTTGTCGCTGTCGTCGTGGTCACCATCATCACCGCCACCGCCTCCATTACTCCCTTCTTCGGCTTTTGTGCTTTTGCCCCCAGCAGCAGCACCAATTGTTGCATCACACCCCGCCGCGCAGATGATCGTGTTCTTCATCCCCAGCGGCCGCGGCCAGGCCGATGCCCCGGCGCCGCTCGTCGAGTCCCGCGTGCAGAGACACTCGAAGACGAGTTGTGCGCTGTTGGCGATCGAGCGGTCGCCGGTGGCGCCGACGTGGTCGAACCAGTGCACCGCGCCCAGGATCGTTTCTTCGCTCAGTGTCTCCACGATCAGGGGCTGCCACAGTGTCTTGAATCGGCCTTTGAGAGCGGTGGTTTGTTCTATTGATCAGCGAAACCCCCTGGGCCAACCTCGTAGAGGTGGCACGTTGGGGGTTGGATATGTTAGTATTTCTTCTTTTCTTTGGGGGTTTTTTTTACAAAGCATCGATGTAGTGATTGACTTCCCCCTCAGCCATGTATCTCTTTCTGCTGCACCTGTCTTTTATCTGGGCTGCCGCAAAGAAAAGTGTTGGGCGAGATGAGGCATTTATGAGATGGATTTTGGGCGCAGAGAGCCAACAAACTTACCGTGCATCTGCGAGACACCGCGTAGATTGGTGACTCGTGTCATGTCCATCGCCCCAGGAATATCAAGCGCCCACTTGAACCCTTCTTCCGACCGGCCGTGCTCACGGCCCAGAGCGTCGAACGCCTGCACGATCAGCAGATCTTCCGTCGCGCCCATGTGCGCCGCTTGTTCTTTCTTCACCACGTACAGGTCCATCGAGACCTGGGGTGCCAGAATCTCCGAGCGGGTGTTCATGGACGCAATGCCCCTGGCCACGAGGGCGAGCTGGCGCCGCGGGACGATGATGGGCCCAGCGTAGATGTCCTGGGGACACGGGTAGGCACGCAGCTTGAACTTGGTGACGACGCAGAAACTCGCGCCGGCACCGCGCAAGGTCCACAGCAGGTCGGGATCCTGCGAGGCCCAGAGGACAGTCCCGTCCATCTTGACGACCTCTGCGTCGAGCATGTTGGCCGGGTCTGACGTGTTGCCGTATTGGCGGGCCAGCCAGGAGAAGCCTCCCGAGAGGATGCTGCCCCCGATTCCCAGAGCTGGTGTACGTGCAGCGACGACTATTTTCCTCATCACGGGGAGACAGGAATGTTCAGTTAGCCGAGATTCAATCACTTCACCATTGTGTTTTTTTGTTTTCGAGGGAACAAGGGGGGTGGGGTATTCCACGTCGTCGTCATATACCGTGATATTCTGGAGCCACTCGGTCCATCTTCTCATAGTAATCCCTCCAGAGCTGTCCCGCGCCCAGTGTCAAGATCTCCTTTTCGCGATCCCAGCTGAACTCGTCGAACGCCTCCATGCTGATGAGCACGTCCCTGGCCGAGGCCGAGCCATACCCGGAACTGCGGACCGCCATGTCCAGGTCCGAAGTCGACAGGTATTGCAGGACCTTTGACAGAGACTGTGTTGAGCCCGGTCGGACGACGAGACGGGGATGCAGGTTCTTTTGGGCCGCCCATGTCGAAGTATGTGAGTCGTACCGCTCTGATGTTGGGAGGATGACTTCGGGCTCGGACAGCAGCGAGCGAAGGTGGTCCAGCTGCCCAGTAATAGATTCCGCCATTGTGTTTGACGAGATGATGCCTGCAAACGACACCTCGACTTGACGAAAGAAGATTGTAGAAATGGGCGCTTGTTGCTTGCTCCTCGTTCGAATCTTTTTACCTTCTTCCTTTTGTGCCTGCTAGAGAGTGAGATTTGGGAAGGGGGAGACTGAAAGGCGCTGACATCGTGGGACATTTATCGCTTCTTGAATCCCTCACTGCAGTGCTGATTACAAGGAATTTTACTCTTCACGGTAAGATCGTGATCTGTTTTGACCCATGCGGCTGTACACCAGCAGCATCGCACATATTTTGTCCAACCATGGCTCGTGAGAGGGCGGGTGTAGCGGACCGCTATCCTTGCCTAGATGAAGCAGTTCAGGCGTTGCAGAAGAGTCGACGTGGATTCTTGGGGGCAGGACGCCTCAATTGTCCTCTCCCTCGCGGGTTTTCCGTGACCTGGTGGTGCGTTGGTGGTGTGCAACATATCGCTGACCGGCGCGCCTGGTCGGCTTATCCCCTGGAGAAGTAGTCGATGGTGCCTTTGAAGGAGGGAATGCCTTGTATACCTGGCTGCATTGGGGTTTACAGGCATGGTGTTGTGAACAGCTCTACGAGGAGGAAGGCAGAGGCGGTGGTTGTAGCTTAGCGCAGCCTCGAAACTGCGCAAGGCTGAGTTCAAACACAAAGCGCAAAAGAAAAACACGACCAATAATGGCTCCACTGTCATTGACACTGATGATTTCTTGTTCGTACATAGATGATCGTGTCTCGCTCCACTTTATGGCGAGCCGTATAAGATCAAGCAAGATCTTTCAGGTGAGCCGCCCCGGTCCTGTACGCCTGTTTATTGAACAGCAGGTTGTGATCAATAATGCACAGGCGAGTCCGGATGACGAAACTGTCTCTACCAATTTCTTCTCCCACCTTTTCCTCTTCCACGGCCACCAAAGCCACCTCCACCTCCGCCTTGGTCAAATCCACCACCTCCTCCGCCCCCTCCAAACGAAGCAGAGGGACCAGTAGGCGGTTGCGGCTGTCCCATCATTGGCCCTCCTCCACCTGCCATGAACTGCATGAACTGAGCAGGGTCCATAGTCGTTGGATCCAGCCCTTGAGACGTCATTGCGGCGAACATCTGCTGCATTTGCGCTTCATTGGGCATCGCCATTTGTGACATATCCGCTGCCGGCGCACCTGGCAAGGCGGGCATCCCTGGCATGCCACCTCCGGGGATACCTTCCACAAACGCTTTCATCTGTTCTGCTTGTTGTGTGATCTCTTTCACTTCTTTAGGCATCTGCTGCTGTTTCAGGCAGTAAGAAGCCCAGGTAAACTCGTCAAATCCATAGTTGAAGTAGTCCGTTATATCTGCACCGGGCTTTCGCCAGGGTTTTGATGATTCCGAGGGAAAGTCAACATCGAAATCTGTAGACATGATGGGCTTACCAGTGGCTGGGTGCACCGGATTTCCGTTCGGATCGATCTTGGACGTGTGTCGAGCTGGGTAGTCGGTGCCAGGACGATCATTGGGAGGTTGGGATCCACCTCTGATATCTGCGGGCGTGCCTGCTTTCATTGCTGGTGTCGGTGTTGATGACGATTTCCGTATATCTGCGCCAGTTTGTGCTAGACCAGGAAGCCGCTTCGTCTGAGAACTTTGTCCTGAGCCTGGCTCTGGTTTAGGCTCATCCTTGACGTCGATGATGAAGTCGACATCGTCCTGGATGTTGTTAGTCCCCTTGTCGTCTCTTTGGAAGCGCATCTCATACATCGTCGTCTTCCTCTTCAACTTCCTCGCCCTCCTCTTCACCATCCTCACCATCCTCCATCTTCACCTCACTCTGGTGCCTCTGGGCGTTCGACTCATCGTGCTCCGGGTAGATATCGTCTTCGTCCGAGTCCATCATCTTGTCGACCCAGATGATGCGCGCACCGAAAGTGGGGGAGGGAAACAGGCCGTCGCAAGGCTGGTATTTGACGGTGGAGTGAAACACGCGCAGAATGTTTGTTACGTTTGCTTGTTTTGCGATGGAGCTTGGAAAGTTTGCGGCGTTTCCTGTCCAATCATTATCGGAGCTCCGCCGAGGAAAGTCTAACGAGCGGATGGTTCGAGAAAAAGTCCCCCCAGGACCTCTTGAAAAGTGATCCATCTGTTTACAGACCTTTGTGTGATTCTACTCCTTCCATATACCATAGTCCGTCCTCTCTCAGACCTCGACTAGATCTCTCCCATCAAGTCAATATGGTAAGTTGTCATCCCTAAGGACAAGCTTCTAAAAACCACACTTTGCGCCGCTCTCCCTCCCAATCATTGTTAACTGACAAACAACCTCGCGCAGACTACCGCAATCAAGAGCATCCGATCCCTCGTCCCTCTTCTCGACCGCGTTCTCGTCCAACGAATCAAGGCCGAGTCAAGAACAGCTGCTGGCATCTACCTCCCCGAAAGCAGCGTCAAGGAGCTGAACGAGGCAAAGGTCCTCGCCGTGGGACCCGGTGGATTCGACAAGGATGGAAAGAGGATGGCAATGAGCGTCCAGGAGGGTGACAAGGTGTTGATTCCTCAGTATGGCGGAAGCCCGGTGAAAGTGGGAGAAGAGGAATTCCATCTGTTCCGGGATCACGAGTACGTGCAATTCACATTATGGACGGGACGCAAATCGTGTGCTAATGGCATCAAGGCTTCTCGCAAAGATCAACGAATAAACCACACCTGCGATATCTCCCTAGTTTCCGAGCCCTGCTCCTCAGACAAGCCCAAGTCGCTACTCGACGACTATCGAAAGGACGGACTCATCATCTGTACACCATGTATCATCATCGCAGTACTCCTGCGTGTCAACATCAAAGCTTGCGACCGTGCGACAGGGGGCAATGCGGAAGAAATTTATCCATTCCAGCATGAGCGAAAAGCGCCGGGAGTCAGTTGTGCAATTTTGCATATACCATTGTGTAGATTTGAAAGGAGTACCAATATATTTGCCTTCTCCGCTCAACATGTAATTTCTTCACGTCGCACCTCTGGTCCGTGACTTTGACCGGCTCCCCTGCTTCGTGCCGGCAGGAGTGTTTCCACCTGGCTTTGCAGTGCTAGGCAGATCCCTGACCTCCAGCTCGCGTCCAATAACCTCTCTAAAATCCAGACCAGAATTGCCCAACATCTCCCGCTCGTGCTGCCACACCACGTCCATACATTCTCTCCACAACTTTCCTTGCTTCTCAATTGCACTCAACTGCCTGACTAGCAAGGTGTTGAACGTCTCCAAATGCGTGTCGGCCCATTTGACGCAAGCGCTGATGGTCAACGGTGAAAAGGCCGCTTGATATATAAGCACAGTGTTCTTCACAATAGTAAAATAAACGTAAGAGATGGAAAAGACATAGCGGTGCAGATCACCCTCGAAAACGCATTGCCGCGCTCTTTTGACGAGGGTCTCGCTCCGAGCGTTGAGGTAGGCTTCTCTTGCACGATCCTCAAATCCGAGGCGGATGAGATAGCCGACCTTACGTTTCGTGGCTTCCATGAAAGATGGAGTCTCAATCAGTTCCCGGCTGAGCACAGTGGCAAGCTTGCCGGCGCGCTCATCAACCTTGACGCTGATGAGCTCTTGTGCGATCGAATTGCCCTTCAAGCTCTTGGCAATCTTTCTTAACTTTTCGACCTTTTCGACAGCTTCGTCGAAGCGTTGTAGGGAAATTTCAATGTCCAAATCGTCTATTTGTCCCTCAACCCAGCGAAAATTCTGTTGTCGGCCATCAACTTCTATGAGGATGTCGGGCTTGTCCTTGGAGGAGTTGATGCTTTCGATGATTTCGGTGTTCTTCGCCGATGCTGGATCGCGGGCTGCAAAGTAGTTGAGGCTTTCGGACTGGAGTGGGTTGCTTTGCTCCTCCTGCGTCTTGGCAGCTTTCCGAACGTCCTCGGATGCCTTTCTGAGAGCCATCAATAGACTGCCTTTGGCCTTTTCGTCACGTTTCTCGTGTCGGTAGGTGAGCGACCGTCCACCAGATCTGATTGCCAGTGCAGAGGCAATGGCCTTTTCCTCAGCTGGTGTTGTGGCCCCGGCATTCGCTACGCTCGCCGCCATGTCGATGATCTCAATGTCCTGAAGTGGCCAGCATTCCTCGGCCACCAATTTCGTTGGGGCGGGTCCCTGTTGAGGTGCATTTGGATCTACCCGCTTACGTTTCTTCGAAGCAACAAGAAGATGGTCGTTCAGAAGCACAATATGAACAGGCCGTTTTGGTTTCCAAGTAGCCGAGTCCAGCTCAATCCAAGCACCCGTCTCCGCAATGATATGCCGGCCAGGAGTAGCTGGCAAAAACTTTTGAGATTTCTCGATATTCTTCCACAGTGATTGTAGTTGAATGTTCCACATGTGCTCCAAATTCGCTACCGACGTCCTGTTTGTATTTCTCCTGGATAGTGAACCCCCATTCAGGTCGGGTGAGATGGGTGTGCTTGCGGTTCCCCCATTCCCCGTTCCCAGAGTGCCGGTCAGCTCGGTCATAAGGCCCTGAAGAATACCCATCTCGGCCTTCAACTTTTCCGCCTCTTTACTGATCTTGATGAATTGTGTTCTGTTCTGGTAGACGCTCTGCTTCAGCTCTTGAGAGTTGTGATGCTTGAGCCGCTGCAGATTGTTCTGATATTCCTGAATATCTTGTTCTGAGGCATTTGCAAGGAGATCTGTGACATAACGTTCGTGTTGAAGGTTCGGATCTCGGAGGATATCGTTATCGACGACAAGAGGACGTGAGGTTGATCCTGCTCCAGGTCGGCGTGGAGAACCGCCTCCAGAGCGACGCTTCAGGGTACCAGCTCCTGGTAGCGCGGGGACAGCGGGAGCCCCGAGGTTGCTGAAGTCAGGGAGTTGATTATATCTTGTCGAATAACGTCGTTTGACGAGGTCAGAGGTCTCGGTTGGCGCGTTGCGCTCTCGCGGCACAGCCAGGGTATTGCCAGATTTGTTCTGCGGAGGCCCTGGTCTGCCGATACCAGGACCAGAGGCATTTTGAGGTGCGCTGATAGTCGGGCGGTCTTTACGCTTCTTCCGCAACGTGAGACCCCTGGGGTCCATTATGACGATTCGAGTGGAGATGGATGAAGGGGAAGGAGAATAACTCGGAGAGTCAGGTCGTGGTAAAGAGAAACCGGTCAAAGTTCAGCCCGTTATGAAATGCGGGTCGTGCAGGTAATTGATTGACTCAATGTGCTGTGGTTGGAAGTCAGCGAGCAACACGACGAGTCTGTCGTTGCTGTCGCCTGCAGCCAAGGGATCAAGGAAATAAACTGGGGCGCCGAGAGCTCCTCTTGCTACTTTATCCATAGTACGTAACTTTCAACCTTAACACAGCTACAGTGGTTTACAATTAAGCTTATTTGGGTCTCGTCGTACTTTATTTAACCTTACCATCACTGTTTCCTCCTTTCTCCTTATGCTTATATCATAAACCCAAAAGACATACCTGCTCAATGATATGGTATAAAATGACGGGAGGCGCTTCTATGATAATCTCATCACTTGAGCTCTCCTTTCTTCAGATTACCAGCTTTCCATCCCTCTTGACTCGTCAGTTCTTGTAGATTGCTCACTGCTTTGGCAAGATGCAGCAAATAATCAACACCAATCACCCTATTCCGTTAGCTGCCTGCCTTATCCGCTACTTTTAGGATCACGGCCATGCCCCTTGTTACGAGCGTCAGACACCTATCAGTACAAGTGCTCAACCTCTGCTCAGCCTTACCCAAATTTCCTCGGCGACCGGAACATCTGCTGACGAGTTCTATCGCTATGGCTTACATGAGCCTCACATGGCACCTCTGCTCTTGAGATACGGCAAGTCGACGCGTTTATCTGCAGGAGAATCATCAATGTTGCATTCGTGTGCGGGCCACGTCGTGGCGGCGGCACGACAACCTCGTCGGATGGACGGTACCTTCCGTATCGACATTAGCGGGGCGTCGGAGGGTATTAACCATATCTCGCAACTACAAGCAATCACCCTGGTATCTGATACCACTCTCGCCAGATAGCACCCAGTCACACATGGCATTCTAGAAGAGCCATTTCTTTGAGGCCGCATGTGTCCAATCACTTGGACAGCAATCTCGCCAACGAAAGATCGGGGTGACTTCGAAAACCCAGGCTAAGTTTCTTGCCTTGACCAGGTTCAGCAATCTAAAGTCTTCGCCCATTCGCCCGTCGCGAACGCCTATCTAGGAATCGCTAAAAGGAGGTAGAGCTTGATGTGCTTATCTGCCCACAAGCTTCCATGCTTGTCGTTCTTTATCTTGGCCGGCCCAGCCCTCATGGCTGGGCTTGTCCTTTCCATTCTTTCTGTTTGATTCTTACCTTCCAGTGCCAGCAATCCAAGTCCCAAGATGAGCGAACGTCGAGAGAGCCTGACCCTGCAGGACCCTGAGAAGCGAGCGAAGTCCGATGCAGTCGACCCGGCTAGCTTGGCTGACCACCTGCGTGGTCGCCAATTCAGCGTCGATGCCCACGATGTAGCCATTGTCGAGACCGACCAAGGCAAGCTGCACCGGAATCTGAGAGGGAGACATATGCAGATGATTGCTATGTAAGCCTGTTCTACCTAAGAAATCCTCCTTCTATGGTCCCACCTTGGTGTCGACCATTGACTTCCTGTCATGGATCAACTCCTTCTCGGTGTTCGCTGGTACCAATGGATTTACTGATTATGATCTCAGTGGTGGCGCTATTGGTGCAGGTCTCTTCATCGGAAGTGGTAGCGCTTTCCAGACTGGTGGACCTGGTGCTGTGCTCATCGGCTTCATGATCATTGGTGAGTGTCAAACAATGTAAATGATATGTGCTAGTCTAATACTTTCACGACAGGAGGCATGATGTACAGTTCATCAACTTTCCTCTCTGGCATGAGAATGTCCTAACTGACCTTGTTTAGATACCTCATGATGCAAGCGCTTGCCGAGTTGGCCGTCATGTATCCCATCAATGGAGCATTCACCATGTACATCTGCAGATTCATTGACCCTTCGTGGGGATTTGCCTGCGGTTGGCAATACGGCATTGGCTGGCTCACGGTGCTTCCTTTTGAGATTTCAGCAGCTTGCAATGTGAGAATGTTCCTGGCCACCATGGATCACCACTGACACCTGGCAAGATCATCCACTTTTGGACGGATGTAGAGAACGTCAATGATACCGCCTGGATCATTCCCTTGCTTTTTGCTCTTACTGTCATCCAATACTTTGGCGTGAAGGGCTATGGAGAAGTAAGTGACCACATGTGCGGTTATCAGTGTTCGCTGCTCACCAGATTAGGTCGAGTTTGTCCTCAGCGCAATGAAGGTTATTGCTTGCGTCGGATTCATGATCCTAGGCATCATAATCGATTGTGGCGGCGTACCCACCGATCATCGAGGTTATATCGGAGCCAGATATTGGTAAGGTCATGTCCAAGGCTCCTTACCACCAACATACTGACAGGGCTATCTCGTTTTAGGCACCACCCATGGGCTGGTTTCCTTAATGGCTTCCACGGCTTCTGCACTGTCTTTGTCACAGCCTCGTTTGCTTTTGGCGGCACCGAACTCACTGGTCTGGCTGCTGCCGAGGCCCAAAACCCTAGGAGAGAAATCCCCAAGGCTACGAGACAAGTTGTGTGGCGTATCTGTATCTTTTATGTCATCAATCTCTTCCTAGTCGGCCTTATTGTGCCAGCAGACAGTCCGCTCTACAGCGGGGCCGGCGCCGAAAGTCGACATTCCCCGTTTGTGATTGCTATCGAACTGGCGGGCATCAAAGCGCTTCCGTCGATATTTAACGCCATGATTTTGATTTCGGTGATGAGTGTCGCCAACTCGTGCACATTTGCCTCTACCCGGACCTTCCAAGCATTGGCTCAACACGGTAAGATACATGATGTTGAGGTCTAATCTGACCACCGCTGACCTGTTGGCACAGGTATGGGTCCCAAGCTGTTTGCCTATGTCGACAAGAAGGGCCGGCCTGTTGTCGTGACCCTCCTCCAACTTCTGTTTGGGTGTTTGGCATTCCTCAATTTGGACAAGAATGGAGGTGGCAACGTTTTCAACTGGCTTCTGGCCTTGTCTGGTCTCTCTTCTTTCTTCATCTTCGGCAGCATCGCAATCGCGCACATTCGCTTCCGGGCTGCGTGGTAAGTGATTGCAAACTCTTTCGTGATTGAGCTCCGCGAGCTAAAAGTGGCACTCTCGCAGGAAACTTCAGGGACACAGCGTCGACGAACTCCCGTTCAAAGCTGCCTTCGGTATCTACGGCTCGTACGTCTGCGCTGTCATGAACTTTGTCTGTTTGGCCGCCCAATTCTACGTGGCCCTCTACCCGGTCGGAGGACCGAATCTCGACCCGACCATCTTCTTCCAGGACTATCTCGCGGGTCCTTTCCTCGTCGTCCTCTACCTAGGCTGGAAGATCTGGTCCTGGTTCATGCAAAAGGAGCATCGCCCGCTGTACATCAAAATCAAGGACATTGACATCTACACGGGCATGCGCGAGGGCCAGGCCGATCTCATTAGCGGGCCGGGTGTCTCGGAAGAACAGCGCAGGGAAAGTATCGCTGAGCTGCAGGAGGAGAAGAAAAAGAAGGGTGCCATGGCTTACGTCAAGGCTGTGGTCCACTCGATCTTCTGATCTGATCTGGTCTGGTCTTGTGTGGTCCGAGCAGGTGGGTTTTTGGGCCGTCTACTTAACTTGCTTGGCATTCTCTAGCTCTCGAACGACACAAAGATTTGCCTTGAATCAGGCGGGTCCTCGAAGGGTTCCGGACAGTGCGGGCAAACTGTGCTCTTTTTTTGGGCATGGCAGAGAAAGGCGATCTGGTCGAAGGTGCGAACGGACCAGGGGGAGAGACACCAGGACAAGAAAACGAAGCATGCAGAATGTTTGTGTATGTGTGTGGCAAAAACGTATCATTTGGTTGTACATCCATCCATCCATTATTGACCCTTCAAACATCAAACATCAACGTCCTTGGGATTTAGCTAGTCTAGCATAGGAAATTGCATTCGTCGCGTATTATATTATATTATATTATATTATATATCACCTCATATCATCATATACCATCTCATCTCATCTCATCTCATATATCATATGACCACGATTTAGAGTTATTCCTCTTTTTTTTCAACCGTAAAGGGGTGTCACCTACATGGATGGTGGTTGGTGATATCTGCATACCTCTCACCAAGAAACTGTTCGAGCTTGTTTACTATTAAATGTGGGTAGATACTGTATGGAAAGTTGGAGAGATGGAGAGAATCTTTGGGGGCTTTTTGAGTCGCTCTTAGATCTACGTATGTGGGTACGTAATATGTACAAATAACTAGTAGATAGCTCTCCATTTTCCTCGTTTGCACTGGTCATCACACATCGAGGATGGCCATGGCCAGGGTGGTCGTCTTTAGGAGTGACGTCCGCTGGGCGGGCCTGACCAGCCTGACCAGCCCGACCACTGCGGTTGCTGGGGCATGGTGCGCGAATTGACAAAGTCGACCAAATCGAAAAAACTCTTCTTGTAGCGCCGCTGCTGCGTCGTCCGGTTGACGGTCTGTATGCCAAAGTGGGCCGTGTAGTCGCCAAACTCCCAGTTGTCGGCAAAGCTCCAGGCAAAGGCCCCCGCGACGTGCACCCCGTCCTCCCAGATGGACTTGAGCACCTCGGACATGTACGAGAGATAGTAGATGGAGCGGGGCAGGTCGGAGAGCTGGTCGCTCAGATCGGTCTTGTCGTCCTCGCCGAAGACGGGGAAGCCGAACTCGGTGATCACGATGGGCGTGTGGAACGTGTTGTACAGGTACGACAGGTACAGGCGTAGATAGCGCGGGGTGATGTAGACGTACGATTGAGAGCGGTAGCCGATGTTCCAGCCCGTGGTCGTCAAGGTGCTTTGATTCACGCAGTATGGAAAGTATGTGCTGGACGAGTTGGCGCAGCACTCGTGTATCGAGTCGAGCGAATCCGCGACTGGTGGAGAGACGACGGTCGCCTTGTGAGCGAGTACGATTAGCTTCCTGTCGACACACGGTTCTCTTGAATAGACATGGTGCAAAAAAAGAAGTGCGTTCGACTCACCGTGTACGGGTCAATACCCAGAAAGTCGGCAGTGCCGTTGATGTAGGCCAAATCCTCCGGGCTCAGAGGCACATAGTCTGGAACCGTCTCTTTGTAGCTGTCCGGATAGTCCTGTCCCAAAAAGATCGGGTTGCAGAACATCCCCAGCTGGAACGAGTTGAAATGGTCGGCGGCGTAAACATCGTTGGCATTGGCAGGATCGCGAGGCACGCCAAAGTTGTCGTTGAACTTGAGTGAGACTTTGCCGGTTCCACCAATCGACTCTTTGTAGAAGTGATAGACTTGGGCATGGGCCTTGAGCACATGATCGACCGACAGACCATTGAAGGAATAGATGAATGGCTCGTTGAACGTGAACCAGACGGGCACGCGGTCTGCATAGTAAGTCATGACAATCTTTGCGTAGTTGACGTAGGCGTCTACAAACGTCTCGTTTTGATATCCGCCGTTTGAATAGCCTATCAGCGGTTTCGCCTGAGCCGCTGAGAAATTGGCTGCGAAGAATTGTGCCGGAGTGTCGAAGTGTAGAATTGTGACCGTGGGTGTCATGCCTTTCTCGAGCACAAAGTCGATCAAATCAGAATAGTGGTCGAGGCCCTGCTGATTGACGGGAGTGCCTGGCAGGGCAAAGGGCAGAATTCGACTCCACGCAAGACTGAACGAGTAGTATTTGACGCCCATCGAGGCCAGTCTTTCAATTTCTTGCTTGTAATAGTAGTAGTTTTCGTTCGTAACGTAGTCCTTTGGTCGATCGTCCTGGATCAAAATGTCCATGAGCGAGGGGCCTTTGCCTTCGTCGGCAGTTGCTCCTTCGATTTGAGCAGCAGACCCTGCAACGCCGAACTGAAAATCGGATGGGAAGTAATAACAGTCCGTAGGTCCAAAGTAGTCCGGAGGAGGCAGTACCAGCTCGCTTGTTGGGATGGGGGTTGGCGAGACGGTCGTGCTGAAGACCGATGTCTCGGTGAAGTTGGGAGGGTTGGCCATCTGCCATAAGGCAGTCCACGCAGCATTTCCGTAGGGGTTGTCCGTGTCCGTGGCGGAGTCTGTGGCATCAGGATCCCATTTGCCCCAGGTCGTGAACGAAAGGGACGAGAGGAGGCTGGTCAGCGAAGCAGCCGGTGATGCATAGGTGGTGGTAGGACCTGGCTGAACTGATGTGGCGGTCCGTACCGTCTCGGTCATGGAATAGGCAAAATCAGAGTATGGCGAGTACGTCGGCTGTGTGTAGGATGGCGTTGCCGTGCATTGAGGTCTCGCTGATGTCCCTGACACCGGGATATAGTATTGTTGCGCAGTCGCTGAACCCAGCGCAAAAGACAAGAGAGCTAACCAGGATGCCATGTTGGACACGTAGGAGGCTGGGGACGTGCTTCGCACATTCTCGGACTCATTGTGGATGTCAACGACATTTGTACCTGCCCGGTGAGCATGTTACTGGTCTGGAGGTTGCGGTCGCCGGCGATCATGATGGATACAAACAACTAGATTCCACACAAGTGTAACCTTCTCCGCATAAATCTTCGGGCTCTGATCCGGATTTCTGTCGACTAAAGAGTACTACCTCGTCATCTTCTTCACCCGGTTATGGAGAACGGTTGTGGCGGTCTGTACCCCGCGTTCCGACGCTCTCGCTTCGATAATCCCCATACAGAGAAGATGGACATGGGTAGCCGAGTGATCGACAACCTCCGTGGGGCTCGTCGCAGAAGGCAGTGTATCTGAAGATCAAGCTCACATGTCGGGAGAACAAGCACCGAGCTTGGACAACGGCATGGCTTGTCACTCGTCGGAAGTGATTCGATCTTCGTTCGGCTGTTCTGGGTGAAGGGAGTAGTCATCAGGGTGCGCTCGAGGGAAATAGGTTTCGCTAGGCATAATGAATTTATAGAGGAGCGGCGGTATACTTGGTCGTAGGGTGAACAGCTGATCCGTGGTGCCGTATGTCCAAGTGTCAGAGTTGTCTGCGGCTCCAACTCCTCAGACTTCTCTATAATTCGATCAAATGACACTCAAATGACGCCCAATGACGGCCAAATAACACCCATGAATTCAGATCCAGGATGAGCCACCCCCATGACTGGCTGAAAAGCCTCAATATGGCGTCGCCGGTTAACAGACTCACTCGGTCGCCGTGCAGCCTATCTGCGACTCTTCAAGGAGACTCCCAGAGTTCTCCGCGATTTCTCTTCAAGACAGTTGCGACCTTAGCTACCCAGCATCAGCTCCGTTGACGTGGACCGGAGTGATAGGGTAGCTTGGCCCCGCATTGTACGTACTGAAGGCCAATTGCTGTGTCTTCTCCTTCAGCTTGACTCGGAGCCAGCTGAGATGATCCCTTGGGACGCTCGGTTTCCTCTGAGTTCCCAAGGGCACAACGACTGATTCTTCTCCTCGCCACAGATCAGATCGATGAAGCCATGGACGGCACCTATCGACGCTGGGACCGTTATTGCGAGGCCCATCCCCAAACCCCAACCATCTCTGGGACTCCTCCAGGAGCGCAAGATCTTTGCCGTCGATGCCGCGGACTGCGCAGAGGTATTAGCGATAGCCTTGCTCGCCTCAAGAAGATCGAGAACGATTACAAGTCTAAAGGGTCCAATTGGGAGGTCGCTGTCCTGGGCACGCCAGCGACATGGGATCCGAGTCACTGTGCTCTTTGCTACCTCTTCATGACTATACACAACAACAAACTTGCCGAGCATGATGCAAACACGCCTTATACACTTCGCGCATTCAGGGCATATAGAGCGACAGGGCTGGCAGTCCTTCCGACGCCTTCACTCGACACGTTGGAAGAGGACTGCGCGTCGTCAGGCTTTATATCCCGAGCTGTGACGAAAGCTGATAGTTCGGTGGGACACCATTCTGTCGGCCTGGTTGGGAAGTACGTTGACTTTCCCTTCGTCCAGAGCTGGATCGAGAGAGGCGGCATGACTGACATTCGAGAATGGGACGGGCTGTCACTCAAGGACAATCGCCACTTTAAGCTCATTGACTGTTCGACGCGCCGTATCGTCAAGCCACCCGAGGGATGTCCCTACGCCACGCTGAGCTATGTCTGGGGACGATCCGGCGAGTCTGTCCCGGACGGCGACCGGCTGCCGAAGCAGCTCCCACGCGTGATCGAGGATGCTCTCACGGTCGCGAAAAAGGTCGGCATCCCTTACCTGTGGGTGGACCGGTACTGCATCTCACAGACAAACCTGGTGGAGAAGGCGGCGCAGATCAAGAAAATGGGTCCCATCTACAGCAGCGCGTCCTTGACGATATTTGCCGCGGCAGGCAACGGCGCAGACCACGGCCTCCCGGGCGTCTCGAGGAAGAGGGACCCCAGCCGGCAGCCTTGTGCAAAGGTCGGCAAGCACCTGCTCACCTGGACCATGCCGGACGGCCCGGCCCTGGTGCTGAAGTCGACATGGAACACCCGGGCGTGGACGTACCAGGAGATGGTCTTCTCCGGATCGCGGCTGATCTTCACCGATCTCCAGGTCTACATGGAGCAGCGGGGGAACGTGTTCCGCGCCGAAGCCTGGGGAGAGTACCCGTTCAGCAATATCGGGCGCATCGACACGCACACCTCGCTGACAAGTCCCTTCCGCGAGATCTACAAGCTCAACGAATACTCGCGGCGCCAGCTGTCCTTCTCCTCGGACGTGATCCAAGCCATGCAGGGCCTCTTCAACGTCATGGCCCGCGCCAAGGTGCTGTACCAGTACATGGGCGTTTTGCTCCCGGCGGTCATCGCGCAAGAGGATGCCCCTTCCGACGACGGCGCCCTGCAGTACAGCTTTCTCTGGTTCCACATCGCAACGTCCACGCGACGACCGGGATTCCCCAGCTGGTCCTGGGCCGGCTGGTCCGGCGAGGTGGCCTACCTGGAACTCAGGGGCGTGCAGCATTGGTACCACCCAACCTTTCAGGCCGAGAACATGGATGCCTCCGTCGAGCTCGCCAACGGCACCCTCGTCCCCTGGGAGGAATTCCGACGTCTGATCGTGGCCGACCGCCTACCACCACTATCCAACTTCCTCCAGCTCGACGCATCCACCGTCTCCCTCCACTTCGAGTGGCTCGACCACCCACCCCGCCACTCCTGGGCCTACGCCCCGGTCGTCGCGTCCCGCGCGGGCCTCTTCGTGAAATGCCACCCTTCCTACGCGATCTACTCCCCAGTCCGGCTCTGCGGCCCCGTGGACGATGGACCCCGCCGGATCAAGGAGTTGTGCGCGTCCGCCCACGACGCCCTGGTCCTCGGCCAACTGGCGTACTACCGCTGGGTCCGGGAAGAAACCAACATCTACGACAACCCGTTTGCGGATCTTTGCGTCGTCGTCCTTGCCAAGCGGACAGGTGGTGGCACCGGTGATGACGCCGTAGTAGAGCGCATCGGATTCGTCAACCTCGCCCAACGCGTCTGGGACGACGAGTGTGAGCGCATCAGAGCCGAGACCCCGGACAAGGAATACCCCTGTTTCCTCAGGCGTCTGGATTTGACAAGGGCCAGGACGCGGATCAGGCTTGGTTAATTGGCCAGTAAGCCAGATTTGAGAAAGTGAGCGAGTCAGCGAGTGGGCGAGTGCACAGGTAGGTAAGTACCTAATATATCAATAAAGTAAGTTTGGTCGGATATGGTGAAGAAAGGGGGGGGAGGGGGGGGGAACCGCCTCCTGTCTAGCGAGTTACCGAGTCCTTGACTTTACTTCAGTTGACTTCTCCCCCGTGAATTCCTTGTATAGCTTCTAATCTATTTCATTCCATTTCCTTCATCTACCGTATATCCACCCATACCTCCAAAAGGGATTCTATTCGAGTAGCTGCTGAAGAAGGAGTTGTGTTGTGTAGACGTCCCAGCTTTTCCATATATACAAAACTAGCGAACCACTTTAGCAGATGATCTATCCCCTTCAAGCGTAGACAAATGAGATAGTAGTCCAGTAGCAAGAGGTGAAACTCCATTCAACTCAACTCAACTCAACCCAACGCCGCTCGTCTCAGCACCTCCTGACACAACATGACACATGCCACAACAGAGCACAACATTGTACCAGCTCCCGCAGTCATGGCAGTGAATAGCAATAACAATAATGTCTAGATAGTACATCCACCAAAAGTTTAAACCTCACACGCTAAAACAGGTCAAAACTGCGGTGCCGTGGTAAAGCGCTCGGTCGTCGGTCTCTCTGCCGCATCAGATGGCACGATGGTGTCGTTCTGACTTCCTTGGGCTTTCTCGGGCTCTGTTATTTCGACCGCCTCTTCTCGCTTCTCTGTCGTGGAAGCGGAGTCTTTCTCCCGGGTAGATCGATCGCTCTCGCTGTCCGAGTCGTTCGACGACGGAGTGGTGCGACGGTCCTTGTCTGCAGGAGCACCGAGCACAGCGGGGCTCTTCTCATAATTCCCACTGGTGACTTGTTGTCCCTGACTCGCGTTGCTCAGGGTTTTCACCAACGCTTCGCTCTTGGCTGCGTCCTTGCCGGCATACTTCTTCCCTTTTGGCACTCTGGCCAACCAGTAAATCACCACCGCTGCGAACACGTTGAAGGCAATATATACAAACAAAATACCGAAATCGCGCCATCTATGGTCGAAGGAGATGCTCACCAACGACAAAAAGGTGTCCGTACTGTTGACGGTGCAGAATTGGCACTGCGAAGTGTCCGAATCCAGGAGATAGCCGCCAGCTTGTTCGATGAAGGGGCCGAGATACTGGCCACATGTTTGACCAGCAGGCGCAGTGAAATGGAGGTATTCGTTGGCTGCACATACAACAGGCGCGTGTGCGATACCTACGCTGAGAAGTCCTTCGACTAGGTATGTAAAAGGACTAAAGTCCACGAGTAAGCTTCGGTTCCAACTCCAGCAGAAGGACGGCGTGTCACTTACCTCACTCGGTACATGAAAATCCAAAATCCGGGCATTGCTTTAGGGCCGACCAAGACACCATTGAATAGAAGACAGAGCGAGAACAAGACATTTGCGATGTTGGAGGCGGTCTCTGCTGTTGCAATCCCAGCAATCATCCTGCATGGTCATTAGCATCCAAATTGGAGATGAAGTCCTAACAGGCGCTCGTTGAAGAGAGATACTTACAGATGGGCAAAAGTGCTGCTGAAGAGGAGAAACTCCAACACAAATAAGAATTGCGTTGCTCCACGGGAGGCCACAGAGTCGGTGTATGTCGCATTTTGGTACAGCCCGATAGGGTAATACCAACAGAAGAACAAGATCACTGCTCCCAATGTCGCCCAAGGGAGCTCGACGAGGATGTTGGATAGCATAAATGCCTTCCACGAGTAGGCCTTTGAAGGACGCTCACGAACTTCATAGAGGCTGCGTTGCGTGACGAAGAGAGGCATGATTTGTTGCACCAGCTGCGAGAAGAGGACCAGCACCATGAAAATACCGAAAAGCTGGTTATTGAGTCCTTGTTGAGTATTGGGAGCCTTGAAGAGGGAGAAGCCGATAAAAAGACCCTAACAACACAGTCAGCGTCAGGCAAATCAAAACAGAAGGGTAATACACACTGTGAGGCAACACAACAGCAGCTTGGAGTAAATATACTCCGGGGTTCGCCAATATTGCTCGAAAACCCGTTTCTGCGTCTCCCAGAATTGTACCATGAAAGGCGCGGCAAATTCGAAATAATCTGCCTTGTTCCCTGAAATCGGGGCCACCATTTGAGATCGTTCGGTCTTCATCTCTTCCAATTCTCGGTGCACTTCCTGGTACTCTGGTGAATTGCGCCAGACTTGGAACCAGTCAATATCCGAATGCGATCCAGGGGCTGCACCAATGGCCTCGAGCATATATTCTGCTGGGTTAGCACCAGCTGGACATTGATGAGCGCCGTTTCTTTCGAAATAGTCAATCAGGACACTAGAGTCTTTGCCAACAGGACCAAAGTACACAGTTTTACCACCGGCTGCAAGGAATAGCAGGCGATCAAATCTCTGGAATAGAATAGCGGACGGTTGGTGAATGGTGCATAGGATAGCCTGGCCAGCTTTTGTGAGCTTCTCGAGAAGGTTGAGAATAGACCAGGATGTCTGTGAATCAAGGCCGGACGTAGGTTCATCAAGGAAGAGAAGAAGTTGAGGACGTGCGGCAAGCTCTACTCCGATTGTCAAACGCTTCCGCTGTTCCACGTTGAGACCTATGACGATGCGAGTCAGAATTGAAAAGACTGAGTTGACGAGTACATACCTTCACCTGGAACGCCAACCACGGCGTCAGCGTATTCCTGCATGTCGAGCAACTTGATAACCTCTTCGACATAAGCAATCTTTTCCTTTCGAGGTGTATCTCTTGGCTGTCGTAGTAAGGCACTGAAACGTAACGCCTCTCGTACGGTACTCGTCTCAAGATGCAAGTCCTGTTGCTGCACATAACCTGTCTTTCTCTGGAAGGATTCGTCACGTTGTCTTCCATCGACTAGCATTTCGCCCGTAATCACACCCATAGTCACCCGTGTCGCGAGACAGTCGAGTAAGGTGGTTTTGCCCGCACCTGAGACACCCTGTTGCGAAAGTTAGAGCAGAGATCAAAAAATTTCCAGAGGAAGTATCATACCATCAGAGCTGTCATGGTCCCGGGCTTGACCCAACCGTCAACATGATCCAGAATGCGGCGGGGTTGGCCTTTGATCTTGATGTCGTAACAGACGTCCTTCCACTGGAAAATGGCAGTTTGCTTCTGGATCACAGCAGTGACCTGTCGTGTCAGTTGCTCGTCCTTGGTCTGCCTCCTTTCGAGAGCAACAAGATTAGGGTCAGATCCTCCCGTCTCCATATCAGACGCTTGCTCTTTCAAGAATGCCGGTTTGTGGCCTCGTCGGAATAGTAGCACTTCACCTTTGGACTTTTTGGCGCTCACTGTCTCGGTAGCAACCAGGTATACTATACAGAGCCCGATCGTGAATGCGAACAAGATGCCAATGTTCCGCCATTTGTGGGAGGCAAAGTATTTGTAGGAGATGTTGATATAAGCGTCGCCATCGACGAAAGTCTGACCAGCTACAGATCCAATGACGGTACAAATTTGGGACGTGGTTGAACCATTTCCAAACTGCGGTGCCGGAGGGACAAAGGACGAACATGGATAGTTACGATTGTGAAATTCGTTCACCATCAGACTTTCAAACCCATAGGCCGTCGGATTGATGTAATTGATCCAGCGAGCCCAGCCGTGCATGTAGTCTACAGGGATAACGAAGCCTGATGCTTGGGTTAGTGACCATATCTGGAAGTGAGATTGCCTCAAAGGGACAGATCAACACACCTGTATACACGACAATGGCGATCATCAAGACAGATGTCGGAACCAAAGCCTCTACCAGAGATCTTGAAACTGACGCGATGACGCGGAACAACATGCTCATGGTAAATGTCAAGATGTATGAGGTGAACAAGAAGAAAAAGAAGGCACCAGGAGTCCGTCGAAGGTTTGTCATAAAGTAGAGGATCAGATTGAAGCCGATGGAATTGAGGGTCTTGGAGGGAACGTCTGTGAGCATTGACGCGAAAGCCTCAGCCGACGGGTGGTACAATGCATATCGTTGATGTTTCTCAACAATCGGACGCTGTGCGTATAGCGTGAGGATCTCAAGAGCGCTACCAAACGCATTGAGCAATACCGCGAAAAAGATAAGTGAACTTCTGGATCGGAGTGAATTTGAGTCTGCTGGCAGGTTGTAGAATAAGGAAGAAACCACGAGGGCGTTGATGCAGTTGGCGAAAAGCTGTGTGAGGGTAATGGCAGGATCATCCATAAGTCGCTTGAAGCCACGCCATAAGCACAATCTAACCTGACCTCCATATGACAATGTGTACGGAGAAGACTTGCGTTGAGCTTTTGACTGTTGGATCCGACGAGATTGTTGGAAACTTTGCAAGTTGGGTCCCCCAATGGGATTGGCCTCTTCGAAGGCCTCGAGCTCTTGCAACATCTTCTGTCGTGCTTCGCTCTGCTGCCATCGTTCGGCAAACTCGTCTGGGGTGCGAGGCACCTGCGCCTCGTAACCCTTCCGGACGAGACGTTCAATCGGATTGGTCATGGAGGTAAGGAAGTCAGGAACCGTTTGGCGTTTGGCACATTCAAAGCCCATATCTTCAAAGTATTTCTTAGCTTCAGTGGTGCGACCGAAAAAGATCTGGCGACCTTGATAGAGAACAAGAACCTTGTCGAAATAGTCATAGGCACTTTGTGGTGCCTGGTAAATGGCAACAGCAGCAGTCGTGTCATTCAAGTCGGTTGAGGTCCGGAGTGTCTTGCAAAATTCGATGGCATTGGCCGAATCCAGACCACGCGTACTATTATCCCAACATTGGAGGGGGGCATTGCTCAATGTTGCTTCGGCAATCGACACTCTCTTTCTTTCACCGCCACTGACACCCCTAACAAAGTCATTGCCGACTTTCGTGTTGATGGTGTGCCTGATGCCAAAGACTGCCATGACCACGTCCCGTATGTGAGCCGCGTACATGGCTTTAGTCACGCCAGGGGGTAGCTTCAAGTTCTGCGGTGTTCGGGCTCGAGCTGCAAAGAGTAGAGTATCGCCGACCGTCAACATGGGGAAATGGACGTCCTGTTCTGCGGTATAGATCGCCTCACCCCGGAAATCGTTGTGCATCTGTTTGTAGCTTATGCCTTGGTAGTTGATGTAAGAATCTTCACTGAGATTGAAGCCGTGCGTCTCGCCGGTAATGGTCTTGAGGAAGGTAGAACAGCCGGAGCCAGGGGGTCCAAGAACGACGAGCATTTCACCCGGCTGCACCACGCCTTCGAAATTCCGTAGAATATCGACGCGTCGACCTTTATTGCCCAAGAGACCTCGCGCCATATCCATCAGGGCCAGGGGATAATTGTCGACCGTCTTCTGAAAGTCACTGCCCTTGGTGTAGCCAAAGGCCGAGAGGTTACGAAAGGCGAAACCAGCGGATCGGCCGATATTCTCCTGGCCTGCCAGCTTCTGGAGCTTCAGCATGGCTTTGGTCCACGCCCTGCCATTGAAGTTTTCCGAGTTAGGATCGACCTCTGTCCCGACACTCGCTTCATCGAAAGGGTGGTATCCCGGCTCTGAAGTGGTCGAGATACGGGAATACTGGCGAGCGAGGTTCTGGATTTCCCTGTTGGCTTCCTTGCTCTCGTCGACCACAGCACCGCCACCTGAAGACATTGTTCGGTCTAGATAAGGGAAGTCTGTTACTTGATTGTCAGGAGAGGCACCGGACATTCGACGGCTCCGATCGTAGTTTGTTGGAATGTTGCCGACGATGGGAGTCGTCATGATTGATGGAGGTCAAATCAAGGCATAGGCAACTAATGGCAATGCGAGTGCAAGTGTTTCGAGATAAGAGACAGGCGCGGTCGAGGAGCGGCGCAGGATGCAAAGAAATCCCAATGCTCTTGCGAAACTAGCAGAAGGGAATAAGGAAAACCGGTGAGATTAATACTAGGCAAGGGAATGACGAGAGAATGACATTAATGCAGAAATGTATCACAAATGATTGAAGATGAATGATGAATGGATGAAGTTGTTGTTGTTTGGATGTTGTGTGATTTTTTTCCCTCCTCGTCCGTTCCTGTTTCCCCTTGTGTCGGATTCTCGGTCGAACTCGCGGGAACAAGGGGACACTGAACTTCCATGCGCTAACGTACCAGTGACGACAAGGGGAATGTGGTACTAGCAAGACTCTTGATCAGACAAGGTTTAGTTTCCGAGGGAAGCTTTGTGCGTCGCAATCTCAACGAAGCAATTGGCACATTAGGCTATCGTGGTGCACCTGAAGGTTACCGGTTCTAGGCAAAGTGCATCACCAGCTGGGCATGGTATACGTGGAATACGAGGCCTAACGCCGCCTGGAATTCCGTGGCAAAGGGCTCTGAGTGGACAGGCCACGGGCTTGTGGGCGCCCTTCTACAGTTGAAGGAGCCACTGAGGGGCCAGCAGGGATCGTATTCGAATACGCTCCGAGGATGATAGGCTGCCTGGAGGCTCGGCGGTGGGGTTTTTGTTCTAGGCATCGCCAGGCACCAGCAAACACCATCTGTTGGGTTCCCTCATCGCCATCACCGCGCATCACCACCAAGTATGACCCCTGTTGCCCTCTCTTGAGCACTTTGAAAGTGGCCCGGAAGGAAGCACTTCCCAACCCCGAGGGACCCCCTTATTTTCCCGTCACTCTCGGATCGCTTGTGTAGCACTTGTTCCGTGTTCCGAATTTATTCCATCTTTATCCATGCACAAAATCCCATTTAGGAAAGCACAGGCCACGTGAGTTCGTATCTTGCTCGAATTTCTTTCCGAGATGTGCAACTCCAAGATGCGGACACGGACTCCATCAACACTCACAAGGTCTGTATTATCCGGAGATCTACAGACATCGGTACGAACGTGCTCGTCAGCCTTGTCTACTGCAAGGTCTTGTTCTTCTATCGACCGAGACGAGAGAGGACAACCTCAATGGTACCTTGTATGCCCTGCGCCATGTTCCGCTCAGATTCAGCACCAAAATCATCACTTCACCTTCGTGCCACTATCCTCCCATGTTGTTCTTACAATCTCTTCCCCTTGAGTGCCCAACCGAGAGCAGAGTATCGTCTTAGCAGAACATAAGCGTGTGTCGCGATGGATGATGGAAGGGGGCCATTTCTTATCTGACTACGATATTCCTTCAGACCCATTTTACAAACTCACCTACCACTAGGCCTCGCATCCTGGACGCTCCTTTTCGGGTCCTTTTGCTAATCTCGAAATCAGTGTATTTCCCTACTTCGATATCCTTCCAACAGATGTCTCTCGGATTCGTGACCACCGTCTGTTCTCCCCAAAGGTCTTCTTCTCTCGACTTCTGCTGAAGGCTTGACTCCCAATAGATGGCACCCTCTGTCCTCACGATCCTCTGGACCTGACGGTATTCGCTCTAGATCATTTCTGACTACGGACCCAGCTTAAAAGAATGTAGCTCACATTGACAAGAATGCAACTTGCAGACATTTGACGCCACGACTTTCCCCATGACGTTCCCCCTGGGCAGCAATAGAAGTGAAAAATATTTGGAGGTTGGTGTATTGCGTATATACCTGGCAATCACTGCTGCGGCTCTAGTACTTGTGAAGAATGGCTCATTGCTGTTGATGTACTTCTTTCATCTTTAGGTACGTTCCGCCAGTATGCTGTTCCCGCAAGACCAGGGCGCTCCTATCTGTGTGCCCTTGAGGACACGGTTGATATCACATATGAGGCTGGTCGAGGGAGCAGCAGGCACACGACTACTAATCAAGCTTTGATCGCCCTAATGCAAAAGACAATATGTCTCTCCTTTGCCGAATTAATGTTGGATCAGACGTCAAATCACGACAGATGTTCCTTGTGCTGGGAAGGCCGCGAACTCTCTCAACGCTTCACAGGACCCGTGTCAAGATACACACCTCTGAGGAGTGCTATGACTCCTCGACAGTATTGGCAGGCGGTCGAACCCGCTGTTGGTCGCTGACTTTGACTGCTATCTATTTTGAATTGGGGACACCATCTAAATGCGGCTGCATCCGTGCTCTAGCGCAGGAAGACAGACTTGCTCACGCTCGAATTCAACGACACCGACTGGGCAGGTTCGTGCCTCTGTTCAGCCACCAATCTGTAGTGGACTGGTGGTGTCCTGCACCATCTCGTGACCGGCAGTGAAGAAGACTTGTGGATACTATGGTACCGCGAGCAACACCTGTATCAACACCTGCGTTTGGTAAGGATCCTCAACTTGGCTCCTTTTTGCACTGCGGCACCCAAGATTTCAGGTCTTAAAGATCGATGCGCCATCGGCGTTTGTGGATACGGTGATCTCAAATGGACTTTGGCTCCGCAACCACCCCATGATTCGATTACTGTCACAGCCTTTTCTGTGAGATGGAGACCTCGGACAAGACATGCCACACCACGACAATAATCTCACTCTTCGCGCGATCGCTAGGTCATGGTGCGAGGCTGAGTCCTCTGCTCCGTGATGCACCAAGCTTAAAGTCGATCTCAGAAAGCGGTCGATGTCCTCTCGTGAGAATGTGGATGTAATGTCGGAATTTGCCATCCCGTTACGAGTACAGAATAGGGTCATGGGTGGTGGGATACGCCACCCAGAAAATTCCAGAGCAAGCCGAGTAACGGACTCCTTGAGTGTGATCTTCCAAAGCGTCGATATCGGGGCCTGTGGTAGAAGATCTATTAATAGGTTTTCTATTACATGCATCGGACGTAAGGCAATATTGTGTATTATGCCACTGCCCTTCCCTTCTTTAAGGCGGTATGATTGCGGAAGCCGGAGAGCCATAAATAGAAACATGTACTCGGTATATGAACGAGGTGGGTGAGATGACTCCTTGGAAATAGTTGCGGCGAACCACGCTCGGTAGAGGCACAGCGTGTACCTTGTACAACTACAGTACTCGGTACTTGCAGGTACATTAAAGCAGCGTCCATACATCCCGCGTTCTCGCTGCTTTAATGGCAAATGCCATGACTCGTGCGTTTGTCAGAAAGTGGCAGGACAGATCAAATAGACGATAATGAAAAGTGGATGGGAGTTCACAAGAACAAGAGGATATATGGACAGGTATGTATATACCTTAGTGATACTCGGCACTTATGTAGATACCAAGTAGCTCGGGCAGTTATGTAGGCGTCAGGAACTACTCAGGATGAATATGTTATATCACGTTCTTTTACAACCGAGTGCTTGGTAAATAAGCCATATACCTCATGTGTCTCGCAAGACAGGGCTCGATTTCGGATCCGTCAAGCACCCTCCTTGTACTGAACACTCCAAACACGCAGAGAAAGTGTAAGACATATTCCATCCTTTCGTCCAGGTCGTTGTCGCTGTCATTGTCGTTGTCATGAATGAGAGAACGGGACTGACTGTCAAGATCTTACTCATGGACTGCATGTATGTAGACGGATATACTAGTGTATGTACCGAGTATATATCTGTGTCTGTGGACCGTATGTACTGGATGTGTAGATACGGGACCAGGCTGACCATCTGAACAATGTTGAATATGCTGAATAGACAGTGATCCGAAAACAATGTGAACAGTCAGTCAGTCAGTCAGTGTAGGTCAAGTCAGATAGCAAACCAGGCGGCCAGACAGACTCGATCCGCACATTCCATACAGATTCTGTTTGTCTGATCTTGGCCTCTTACCTTAGCTCGTTCGTATATTTGTTATGCATTCATTTTCAGATTCTGTGCCACACAACAGACACACACGTCTACTGCGACCATCCCATCTCCATACCGCCACGCTACAAGTACTGCACTTGGAGTAGCGCACCCAATAGAGGAAGGATAGTAGGTTCTGGCACATCTGGCCTGTCTAGCTGTCTCTCCCACAACATGGCCTGGCGATCCCATCCCATCCCATCCTATCCCATGCTTCGCAAGCGTAGAGGTGGAGATGGAGCCGGAGCCGGAGTCGGATATTCCAGCCGTGTCATGTCAAACAAAGAAAGAGAGGGAGGGAGGGAGAGAGCATCACGCGCAGCGTCTCTCGCAGGCAAGCAAGCGGCACGCAAGCGGCTTGTGTAGTGCCGTGTTGTATTCTTTCATTTCATATCAACCCACGAGACAAGTACAAGTACAAGGACCCATAAAACAGTGATAATGGTCTGGACCTGACCTGACCTGACCGATCGATATCCCCAAACATCGGCGACCTTTGTTGTGAGAACCTCGAATGAATGAATGAGTGAATGTCTAGACCTGGAGGAGAGGTGCCGAGTAGCCGCGCATGAAAGTCAAACAATAAGAGAGGAGCAATCTACAATCTGTGGATTTGTATGGTGGAAATGCACGTGGAGCGTTGAACTCTGTGCCTTAGGTACGTACCGGTAGGCGCCGTGGAGAGGCCTGAACAGAGATCTAGAATGCCAGATGCCCGATTGCCCACTGTAGAGGATATTCGGCATCGCGTGAGGTGGTGCGATCTGATGCGACAGGCCGAGGCCGCTTGGGGATGTTCTGGGCAGACCTGAGCTGGGAGACTAGGTACATTCCAGACCACTGCTCCTCAGGCAAATTTGTATGTACCGAGTCACGCGAGGACAGCCTGGGACGACGATCCTCGGCATTCCATGGGTCGATCACTGCTGATCTTTGCTACGCGTTCTGGACTCTCGTCGTCCGTGCGATGTTCGGCCGATATTCGCAGTGTTCTTTGTTCCAACTCTTTGTTCTCAAGATGCCAACTTTTCGAAGATGAAGTATCAAGTTGATCATCCGGAATGGGAGTGAGCAC